GGCTGAAAGAACATCTTTTAGATAAACAATTAATAAACATAAAAACCGAAAGAAGAACTGAAGCCTCTTCTCGTCCTTCGATACGCGGGCTGCCCCAAGGCCACCCCGGGCCTTTCCAGGCCCTTCAAACAGCCGAAAACCCGACACTTGACAAGCTTTGTTTTCAAGCATCTTTCCACCAAAATGGCTCCTGGTTGTGTCCTTGGAGGAATTCCTGAGGGATGGAATAGCCAGGGCTGCACCACAGCCATGCCAGGTGTGAGGAGTACCTGGGATGTGCCAATCCCACCTGCTCTCCCTGCTTCCCACAGCTCCTCTCCTTATCTGTGAGCAGAGGCCATGAGTTGTGTCCTGGGCAGCTCTGTGGCACCTTCAACTCCTCTTGGCTTAAATGTAGAGTAATTTGTGGGTTAATGAAGCTGCTGCAGGGAGTTACAAGAGAACTTTCCCACCGGAGCCAAAGTGTCACTGTCACCGATGGATGAGTCCCATCAGTGCCTGCAGCTCTGCAGTGAATGTTTGAACACGTGTTCCTTAAGTATTTCTCAAGTGGGTTGTTCCAGGCAGCTCTGATGGGAAAACAATGGGCTGCAGCTTCCAGCTGGCAGATTATTCCTGTTATTTTTGCCATTTGTGGATGTTTCAAAGCTCTCGTGTGCTGTCAGTACGTGCTGAGATCCAGGAGGTCTGTGTGGAGAAGAGGACAGGAAGTTTGAAGTTCTAAATTTATTTTTTGGTGAAGATTCCTCAGTGTTCTCAAGGTGTTGTGATGGTCCTTGGCACAGAGTGAGGTTGGAGCTGTGGGACCAGGGCAGGTTTAAGTGGGGTTCAAAGGGCTGAGCCTCACAGGGGTGATGGAGCTGCCCCACCTCACCAACAGCACCAAGCAAAGCCCAACTTTCCATGATTCCTCCTGCAAACCCAGAGCCAAGCAGAAAAAGAGGATTTGAGGAGGGTTTAAAGCAGTGAGGAAAGATCTTGCAGAGCTGTTGCAGCTGTGGGAGGTAGAGAGGGATGGGAACAGTTGAGGTGAGAGCTGCTCACAGGGATTTGTACATCCCAAGGTGTGAGAGGTGTGAGGGATGCTGTCAGCCATGAAAAGCTCAGCTCCAGCTGGATGCAGAGGACTTTCACACAGGAAAGGTCAGAGAGAAGCCACTTCCTGACAGGTTTTTATGAGTCTCCACAGAATTGCTGACATAAACTGCTTTGCAATGTGATACTTAAATATTTGAGCTATTTTTGCTGCTTTTAGAATCATAGAATTCCATGATAGTTTGGGTTGGAAGGGGTATTAAAACTCATCAGCTGGACCCCCTGTGGGGGCAGGGACACCTTCCACCATCCCAGGCTGCTCCAAGCTCTCCCCAGCCTGGCCTTGGACACTTCCAGGGATGCAGGAGCAGCCACTGCTCCTCTGGGCACCCCCACAGGGAAGGACTTCCTCTGTGTAAGATTTTCCCAATCAGTTTGAGCTCCACTGAAGAAGTGAAGGTGCTGTAAGAGCTTTCAGGAGGGAGTACAGTTCATTTGTGACTCTCCATGGCACTTAGGAGGTACTTACAGCTTTTTTTTCCCCTCATAATTGATGCATGTGGCATTTCCTCCTGCTTGAAATAGGCCAAGAGAAGCAGGCAGCACCGCTGAGCCCGGCTGCTTCATCTGTCTCAGCCTGAGCTGTGCACAGTGTCCAGTTGGCAGGCAGGATAATCAGCCCAAGGGCAGTGGAAATGCTCATTACAGCACACTTTATTCCTTAGTATTTAATAAGTAATGACTCTGAAAAGCTCGGAGCGGGGTCTGTGCCCGTGCTGTCTCCTGCTGTGTTCCTGTCACTATGGATAAGTTAAACTGGGTTGAATCTGGTCGATTTTTGGATGAATACTCACCAAGGAATTTCAAAATGTTGGAAGAAGTTAGGGTGGTTGAGTAGGAGATGCTTCTTTTGCTTGAGTTAGGTTTGCTTTGTGAAAAAAGGAGAAAAGCTGGGCACTGCTTTCAAGAAATTGAGTTCTCTGATGTCCCTCAGTAAAGTGAGTCTGGAAGGGAGGAACTCCCACAGGGAGCAGCTTAGAAAGCAGCTCTGAAAGCCAATGTTCCAGGAACTGAGGCTCAGCTGGGGCTGGGGAACAGTTGGAGTTCCTCATGAAGTTCTTGATAGCGCTCAAATAATCTTTAC